CCCAGCCAGAGCACAGCCCACGAGAACCTGCATCACGTGGGGCCTTGGGGGGGGGGGAAGAGGAACAGAACTAAATCAGCAGCCACAAGCGCTCGGAGATCACGAGGCAGTGGGCCCCCCCCCCAACCCACGATCGCTACGTCTGGGGTCTGGTTATTACCACGTTTGGGGTTTGCACCTTCTGGGGTCACAGTTTTTGGTCGTGTCTCCTCTGCCCACGAGACCCAGAAACTCACATTTGATGCTTCCATAGTCCCGGGACTCCAGGAGCTGGGGCTTGGAGAGAGACACCAGCCACGGTGCTAAAGCCAGGCAGTGCTGAGACTGTGGAGCGGGTGCCAGGCCTTGGCAGACCCAGGCCCCGAGCCAGCAAAGCCCAGACCCGTGACTTTAACTTTAAGCAGCTTCACAGAGGTCAAGGCCAGAAGGGACGGGTCTGGTCGGCTGGTCTGAGCGCCTGCAGAGCCCGGGGCAGGGAATCGCGCTCACTCATTTCTGCATCCGCCAGGACTGCTGGTTCGGCTGCGGCGTCTCCGGAGTGACGGGCTGTCCCATCACCGCCCAGCCAACGCAGCAGCACGTGAATCCTCAGCCTCAGCGGGACCTGTCCCCGGCCCCAGACACCCCCCGTGTGGCCTAGGGAGCGACCCCCAGAGCAGGTCGTGATCCACAGGTTTGGGGAGGGAGACCCAGAGACCCTCCCCGCGGGGCCCCCCGAGGCCACCCTCACCCCCCCACCACACACAGGGCCGGCCCAAGCGCCCCGGCCCCCCGCTCACAGCCGCCTTTGCTCCCCCTCCCCCGTGCATGGGGCTGCTCCGATCCCCCCGCTGCCTGCCTGTTCGTGGGGCTGGTCCTCCAACCCCCTCCGCTGCCCTTCCTCCCTGGGACCCCCCTCTGCGCACGGGGCTGGTCGTCTGAGCCCCCCTGCCGCAAGCCCACGCCCAGGCCACCCAAGACCCTCCCATCACCCCTGCACGCAGGGCGGGCTGGCCCGAGCCGCTCTCCCTCGCCCTCCCTCCAGTGCAGGGGTGCCACTCCTGCCCCCCCCCACGTTCCTTCAAGCCCTGCTACAGGTCCCAATGGCCAATGGTGGCGTCGGGTGGGCACAGAGGGACCAGCCCCACCGCTGGGCACTAGGGAGGCGGCCGCGTGGGGGTGTGTGTGACCTGAACCTCTGCCCGGGGTGTCACGAGACCGGCACACGGCACCTCCCTGACCCCAGGGCCACCCGCAAACCACATGTCGGGGTCCTTCTCCGAGCATCTCTAGCGCTAGGCACAGCCCTCCCACCCCCATGCCCTCCAGGAGCCAGCCACAGCGAGACAGGTGGGGCCTCCTTCAGTCCCCGGAGCCCATCCATCCTGCCCCAGGCCAGACCCCATCTGTCCTGCCCGCTCTCAGGAACGGACCCAGGCCCCTGGCAGAGTCCAGGAAGAGCCCTGTGTCCGGGCAGCTTTTAACCACATCCCCCGGCAGGTTCCTCGCAGTGACATGGGTCACGCACCCCAACGGGACACGAGTTCGAGGCAGCAGCTCCCCAGGTCCGTCCTCCCTCTGCCGGTCCCCGAGAGCTCCCAGTCCCTGGGCCCCCGCCAGCCAGACTCCGCACCTCCTCACCACGGCTCCACCACATCCTGCACCCCAGGGCTGCCCTGAGCGGGGTCCCCGCAGCCGGTCACCCCCAGCCCCCTTCGCCCGCCAGCCCTGCCCCTGTCGAGCGCCCCAGACCCACCCTCTGCCCTGGGTGCAGCCTGCCCCGGGTCCTCTGGCCGCCCCCTTACCTAGGGGCTGCTGGTGGGTCCCAGCCAGTCCCGACCCCCCAGCTCTCGCCGGCTCCATCTCTAAACCAGCTCCCCCGACCGCAGCATTGCACCTGCAGGTCCATCAACTCCAGCTGTGTCTCTCTGCTCCTCCCTCTCCTCAACTCCTGCCTGGCTCTTCAGAGACCCCAGGTGCCCGCTGCCAACCTCCAGTGCAGGGGTCGGCAACCTCTGGCACACGGCCCACTGGGGCAAGCACCCTGGGCCGGATTGTTTACCTGCCGCGTCCGCAGGTTCGGCTGATCTCAGTTCCCACTGGCCGTGGTTCGCCGCTCCAGGCCAACGGGGGCTGCGGGAAGCGGCGCGGGCTGAGGGATGTGCTGGCCGCCGCTTCCCAACGCCCCCATTGCGCTGGACCAGCGAACCACGGCCACTGGGAGCCGCGATCGGCCAAACCTGCCAACGCGGCAGGTAAACAAACCCGCCCGGCCCTGGTGAGCCGCGTGCCAAAGGTTGCCGACCCCTGCTCCAGCGGGACGCAGCTAATTACTGTTAGTCACAGAGGAACTGGCCCTGCTCCCTCAACAGGCCAGTCACCTCTGAGGTCACCAGCCATGTGCCCATGTCCCGCGCTGGAGCTGGGCGTGTTTGACATGAACTCTGTTCTCCGGAGCAGCGGGGTTGCTCTTGACGGAGTTTTCTCACACTCCCAAGTCAACCGTCAAACTGAGACAGAAACCGAGCCGGGAAGTGGTGGGTCTGGAAGGTGACAGCTTGCCTGGGTCATCAGTTCAGCTGTGTGAATAAAGGAGTTTCTGGTTCTCTGAAAC